CCTTAAATCCTAAACCCTAAACCGCTTGAGCGTGAGTTCGGGACCATGGAGGCGAGAAGCCCTAAACCGTAAACCCCAAACCCTGAAGAACCCGAAACCCTGAACCCTAAACCCTAAAAACCCCCTAAACCCTCCAAAACCATAAATCCTGAAAACCCTGCACCCAGAAGAGAAGCCCTAAACCCTGAAAAACACTAAACCCTGAAGAAAACCATAAACCCTAAAAACCCCTAAGCCCTGAAGAAAAACCCTAAACCCTGACCATAGAGTCCTTTACTTGTTTAGCCCGCGCTGTCCCTCTTGACGGCCGGTCCGTCGTCGTAGGGCGACACAGTGGTGAGCCATGAACCCTTAGGGGTTCGTTAGAGTTTAGGGTTTAGGGTTCTTCAGGGTTTAGGGTTTAGGTTTTGTCAAGAGTTCTTTTTGGGGTTCAGCTGAATCCTGGGAGCTACCACTTAAGAGGATTCGTGGTGCGTAGGATTAGGATTCAGGATCCAAGTGGCAGTTGGTAAGCGTTTCTGTTGGGGGGTTCAGCTTCATCATGACAGCTACCAACTGAGGAGATGGTCTTTGTGTCCACGGCTTTAACTTCAGTGAACGCTTGGTGCTTAGGATTCGGGGCTTAGGCTCGAAGTTGAATCCCAGGAGCCCAAACCGGTAACCTCCCATGCTCTCCAGGAGCAGCGTTTTAGGCTGAGAGCTTAGGGTGTGGGCTTGATGTTGCTCCTAGGCCAGTGTAGTTTAGGAGCCTTCCCGTGAGAGCCCACCCTAAATTTTAATCCTAAACCCCAAACCCAAAACCCTAAACCCTAAACCCTAAACCCTAAACCCTAAACCCTAAACCCTAAACCCCAAACCCAAAACCCAAAACCCAAAGTCCTAAACGCTACACACGCCCTTGAGTCCCACCGTGCCCAAATCCTATGTCCTGAAGCCACGGAAATGTTTGCAAATTCTCGGGTTGACGCACCGTTCTCAACTCTTAGCGCTTATCCTTAGAATGGCCACAGAAATAGGTAACAAGATGTTTAATGACAGCACCGACGACAAATAAAAGGTGATATGAATAGCACGAGCAAGACGAAGAGTATTAGCACTGGCAAGAGTGGCAGAGAGGTGATCAGACGGAAAGCCCAGAACGCTGCAACAAGTTTGAGGTTCTTTTCTGGTTTATAGTCTAAGTCTAAGGGTTGTCTGTGGTGTTGGGCCAAGGCTTCGTTGAGGAGGTGGGCTTCGTTTAGGGCCCGCGGTTAGTTCAGGGCAGGCACGAGCCCGTTGGAGCCGCAGGTGATGTGGCATGAGTGGACGCCTGGCGTGGAAAGCGTGCAAGATCTGGTGCTGCAAAATGTGGCGCTGGTGACCCAGAAGGCGGAAGTTGGGACACAGAGAACCCCAAGACCCCTTAATTGAGGAATATACCTTACATCATAATACCAAGGCCTCTATAGTTTAAGGTATCTTCCTTAATTAAGGTGTATTGGGTTCTCTGGGGACCTGGGAGTGCTAGGGAGTCAGGGACCTTCAAAGATCCATCTAACCCGAAAGCAATAGGATTCATACGAAGAGCCTTAGTAAAGACCCAAGGTGTCTTGAGGCGCCCCTACCTTCAAAAAACCAAGAGTCGAGGGTCCTTTTTATAAGGGTGCCGTACTATATTAGGACCCGAAAAGGGACCCTAGTTTAGAGAACCGCCCATACAGAGCCTAGAACCTAAACCTGAGCGTTTCGCCGTGAAACGCGAACACCCATCGTTTAGCCAGGCGGTGCCTGGCTAGCTTCGGCACCATTCTTGAATATGGTTTCAACCAAAATACGAACGCATATTCAATATTCGGAGTCACCGTGTTATGTTTAACAGGTTTGGCAAACCACTGTACACATCTGAGTGCTAGAAGCTCGACAATCCAGACAATCAACTACATCGGCACACAGCTGATGAGCAAATGCACAGGTTTTGGCCACAACTTTGTAAACATAGTTTGAATCGAGAACAACTAAGCAGGCTACTCGAGATATCAACACCTGTGCATTTAGATGCACATGTAGCGCAGTTTATTTTATAGAGCATACTACACCACATCATCTGCATGGCTTCATGCGTTGCGTCATACTGCATGTGCTGACAAACGTGGATGCATAATTGAGCTAAACCCTACACCCTAACCTTAACCCTGAACTCCTATGTGGACTGGGGAAGTTTCACCAAGACTCGGCGACGTTTGTAGAGACCAACAGTCGTGTAGGATCCTTACGACAAGGAAACCCTATTATTGACCAAAACTACTGTAGGATGCTAATTACTATAAGAAAACAAAAGGCTATTATGGTTTTTGTGGTACTAATTCCATAATGGTAGTATATATGGAGCCTCCGGGTTGTAGACCGTCGGATAGTAGTTTCTACAAGGAACCCGGTTTTATGGACCAACACTAGTGTAGGATATGAGTTATTGTACGGAGGCCTGAAAGCATACCCCGGCAGGTGAAGTTCAAGTTGCCACCGACGAAGGAGTTCGACATGCCTTATCCGGAGCCCTTCAAGCTTGCGCAGGGGCCCCAAGGTGTTATAAAGCCCCAAAACCCTAAATCCTCGTTGTCAAACACATAGAACCATTTCTTAAACATCCTAATGTAACGGCTCAAGAGACATCTTCGCCATTTCAAAAAGCATCAAGCCCGCAATGCAAAAACAACGAATCCCCAAAGCCTGCGAGCTATCGTGTCGGAGGCAGTCCCTTGAGGTTTAGGGCTTGTGGGTTCGGGGTTTAGGTTTAGGGTCTAGGGTTCAGGTTTAGGTGTAGGGGATAATTAGGGTGTAGGTTGACGGCTTGATTGAGAGCTCAATGTGCTGTATCTACGAGCCGAAACAGTTCGGAGCAGTGCTTCGGAGTGTTCAGCAGTCAGCGCATGACGTCCCATTACGATTGAGAACTTTGCCGCCCTCCGCTGTTAACCTCGAGACGCTTAACCCTCACAGGCCGCAGCCCAAACGCCTATAGCCGAAACCCGAAGTCCTACACCCTCAACCCCCTGACTCTAGGAACCCAAGACTCTACACCTAGACACAGAAAAGAAACGATGCCAGCTGTCCGTCGTCCGAGTTTGGTCTGTCAACATTCGGCCTTCAATGAGGTTGATGATGCTGCTGCTGATGATGATCCATGGTCCATGGTCAATGATCAATGATCGATGTTCATGATTACGGCTCTGATGATGGTGATGACCCCATCACCATCACCATCACCATCATCACCATCACCATCACCATCATCATCGTCATCATCACCATCATCATCTTCGTCATCGTCATCGTCATCATCATGATGCCCGCTTATACCTTCCTCTGCGGCTAGAGTGCCTTGGTCAGGCCTGGCATGAAGAAAGTTATTCCGATCAGCTTCCGGCCCTCGAAGTATGTGCCGTCCGCTGTGCCTGTTTCGCAGAGCACCGGGGCTTAAGCGAAGCCTAGGCCTAAACCCTAAACCCTAAACCCTAAGCCCTAAGCCCTAAACCCTAAACCCTCAACCGTCTAAAGCTTAGGTGTGCCAGCCCCTAAACCCTAAACCCTAAACCCTCAACCCCTAAAGCGTAGGTGTGCCAGACCTACGCCCTAAGCCCATGACCCTAACGCCTGGGACCAGCCAAGCCCTGAACCCAAAAGCCTCAACTGCCCTCAACCCTAAACTTCACCCTTAAACCCTACTCTCTGAACCCTCAACCCCTCTGAACCCTGAGCCCTACACCCTACACCCTGAGCCCTAAAACCTTAAACCCTGGGCGCTAGAGGCAAACCCTAAACCCTGAGAGCCTAAAGCCCTAAACCCTGGGCACTAAAGCCTTGGTTTACGAATTCGCCGGGTTTCGCGTGTGGAGGGTCGGTTCAAGACGCAGATCTTCGAGGCTTTAAGTTGGAAGGCCTGCTGAGCCCTTGAATGACTGTAGGGTTCCCTATAAGGCTTTAAGAGTACTATGCGGTTCTATAATAGGATTCCAGTTAAGTAGGGTTCTATATTAGGGTTCCTTCCAAGAGTACGAAAGGGTTCTGTAATGGGTTCCCTTTAAGGGTACCATAAGGGTCCATGATGGGGTTCCCTCTCAAGGAATTCTATCCCTCCGTAAGAGAACTTCACGGAGCCCTTACAGGAAATCATAAGTTCGTTTAGTAATTAGGTCTAGGGTTCAGGGTTTAAGGCTTAGGGTTTAGGGCTTGAGGCCGAGTATGGTCTTGGTTGAGGCGGGGCTTGGCGTGTAGTGTTCAGGGGTGTTACTTTGGTTCCTCAGCCCAGAGGCGTTTTGGCGATGCGGTCGACTTGCGATTGCATGGCTCTTCTTGCCAAGACTGCTGGAACCTGATGAACGATAATTGCAGCTATCACATGACTCACTACCCTTCTTCATGAATCATGGTTTCAGCTATATTGCTCCCCACGCCTCTAGGCGATTTTGCGTCTCGCTGTGACATGCTGCTTTTTGCGATGGGGACCACCTGCGGTCCCAATACGTGCTCTTCGGTTTTGTTTTGCACACTCCACTTCCGAATTTACACGCTCCAGGTTGACTGTTGAACCCCAACGGCACTGGGCATCTAAAGGACGCGCGGTCTATGCTCCGTGCTGTCATACAAGCGGCTCAAGGTATCCACACGAGGAACGGCCACGTGCAGATTACATCGCTCCTCATGCTATGCTGTGCTGTACTATAAATATTATACTATTCTAGATTGTTGAAACAAGCCAAAACAAGGCCTTGAAGAGGGTTCGAGGAAGGAGTTTCGGAGATGGCCAATTGCAAGGAATGTGTTGCCGAAATTGAGGCGCTAACTCTCCGCGAAGCCCCCTTGTTGCTTGGTTTCAACATTTTCGAAAAGTATAGTCTAATACATTCTATTCTGTTATAGTATGTGCAATACTACCATGGCATAGTATAGTATAGTACCTGATCGCTGTTTCCTCTCTATAGCCATGTCTCTAGAGAGCCCTCATAGCGGGACCCGAATTGAAGAAAGCTTTTTCGCATCGTGGCAGGCACGTGGATCGTGTGCAGATAGTGACCAAAGGAGGCAGCTTCTTCGTGACCGTCAAGGCCCCGAGTGCCTGTCGCAGTTCGAGATCTGGGTCCCTCAGCCCTCAACCCAGTTGAGGGGCCCTGGACCCTAAATCCTAAACCTCAAACCCNNACCCTAAACCCTAAACCCAGTGCATGTTGCAGAGTCTCGTTTCAAAGCTTATGCCTCTATCCAGACCCGGTGCCTCCAAGGCTTAGGTTTCAGCTGTAGCAGTGTCAAGACGAGCCGACAGGCGAGCAAGCAGGCATCATATAGGGGCCTAAATAATTATTACCAATACTATTTTTTTTTTTTGGGGGGGGGCTCCCTATTATAGTTATAATGTAATAAACACCCCCGAACCCTACTCTAATTATTAAGGCCCCTATATTACATACACAAGCCGGCACTCGCACAGACAGACCGATGCAAAAGCAAGCGCAAACGCACGCAACTACGCACACCAGCGAGCGAGCGTAAGTCATTCAGCATGCCAGCAACCTATAGCATGCAAGCACACCAACATCGTGGCATATCCATGCATGCAAAATACTGTACAGACGTACACGCGCACACCCACGTACACACCCCACCTCCTGTTTCAGTCTACCGTAAGAACCCAAAACCTACTTTTTTGTAGGTCCCTATACATCCCATATTAGGGTTTATAATAAGAACCCTACAAAACAAGTGGGTTTTGGGTTCTTAAGGTAGGTCCCACGTACGTGAGGTTAAACGGTTCAGGGTTTAGGGTTTAGGGCTTAGGGTTTAAACTATCTATCTGCAAGGCCGTGGTCAAGGACGTCGCGCTGTCTGTACCGCACTTTTTGGACTTTGGCCTCTGTCCCACCATGGAGCGTCGGTCCCTCAGAGGGCCTGGCGTTCTCGCGATTGGTGCAAGGGTTTAGGGTTTAGGGTTTAGGGTTCAGGGATTAGGGTTTAGGGTTTAGGGTTTAGGCTTAGGGTTGGCGAGTTGCGGCCGTTTTTCTGGCTGACAGCGGCTACCCTTCCTCGATAGCTGCCCAGAAAA